AAGTGCATCACAGGAAGCAGCAGCACCAGATAGAGCTATCACTTAATCATGTTTCATTTCTGACATTACCTGGATCCAAATCATGTTCCTACAGACTTCATTCTGACCACTGAATGTGAATGAAACACGATCAGAAGGACATATCCCACCTTGAGACTTACAGAGCTTTGGTAACACAACATCTCGGTTGGTGGTGTGGCACTGCAGACCCAGCCCCTACAGCGACTGCAGCAGAGCAGGAGCACACTGCAGCACAGTCTGTCCCCTGCTAAAGGCAGCACCCTGGTGACATTAGACAGCAGTACTGAAGCCACGGTTGGAAAGGCTGGAAGGAGAGCTTAAAAGGCATTATTTGTCCCACCCCCTAATCAGCAGGTGCTGTTTTACTGGCATTGATGCTACCTATCTTTCTTAAACTTCCACTTCATACATCTTTTCCTGCAGTTCTCACCCCATGGGCATCCATCAGTTATTAAACAACTCTGCAGCCTTTTGAGTGAAGAGACAGAAAAGAGGGCAGGGACCAGCTGGATTTCTAATGTGCATTTGAGGGGGAGCAGAAAGGAAGGGGGGTGCATTTGTTTGACAACAGATTAACAGCAGTTTCCCCAGCCTTAATACTGTATTTGCCTGGAAGGCCTGGCCTTGGCCATAGGCTGAGATTCCCTCTCCCCATACTAATGAATGCCCCTACAGCTGCTCACCCTGACAGCCCTCTCTGACACCTTCCTCCTTGGTGTGGAGTGAGACATGACACACAGAGGGCTCAAAGAAGTACCACTTGGCTAGTTGGTGTCATTTGCTTGCTCTGCACAAGCAAGGTGCTAGGCACTATTTGGGAAGCTTCCACTGTGTTGAAAGATAAATAAATGGGTGGTGATAAGTCTTGATGATCAAGTAATCCAGAGCTTCTCACACACTTCTTCTCTCTCTCTCTCTTTCTCTAGTTTAGAAAAGCTGGAGAGCTCTGAAGTACCTGACAAGTATATTGAAGAGTGGGAAATACCAAATAGCCCAAACCAATTCTCCAGCCTTGCAGAAGTAAGGACTATCCCTCCTCTGGGTTGCATTAGCACCATGAAGGGCCACAAAGAGGAGCTGGTAGAATTCCTGCCTCCCTCCTTCTGGTATATGAGGAAGGTCTGCTGCTAAGTGCAATGCTGAGCCTGACTCTCAGCCCATGGAAAACTGCAATGTTCGAATGATGTATGGAAAAAACCAAAGCCATCTGACTGCAGAGATTCTCCTAATTATTGCCCCCATCATACTGACAAGCACCCAGCTCTGACCTTCCCAGAGGGTGATGTGTGCTGTCCTGCTTTCCTTGTGTAAGCAGCCAGCAGCTCTGTGAGCTCTGCTCACTTCAAAGAGATCTTCTGCACCAGGAATGAGGACACAGCCACCCTGACAGACCAAGGCATTGCTTGCACCTTTGGCCCTCCTGCTCGGGCCAGGCTCAGAGCAGGACTGACATACTCACTACACAGTGAAAACTTCTGCACCACCACTCAAGCCAGGGTCTGGCAAGTGAGATCAAGACTCTGGGCTTGGTGAAAGGCTACAGATAAGAGGCCTGCTTGTGTCAGGAAGGCCATGAGAAAAAGGAACGGAGCCAATCAGACTCACCAGTCAATGGAGGAGAAGTAATGGGATTAAGCTACAGCAGGGAGAACTCAGGTTAGATGTAAGGGAGAAGGCTATCCTGAGAGGAGCCCTCGAATGAGCTGCCAAAGGAACTGTCATCACCAACGTGGAGATGGCAGAGAGCAGACACACGTCTCAGGAAGAGCAGGCACCTGACTGCTGCACAGCCCAGAGCTGTGGTGGGTGGTGTCTATGTGCCAGGAGATGGGACCACTCCACCATGGAGAGGCTGTGTGCCCAAACAGGGACAAGCATATATCTGTCTCTGTGTACCTATGCTCATAGCCTGAGCCATAAGAATTACAGCAGCTGGCCTTGGCCCAGGGCACTGCGTTCTCTCACCAACACTTAGGAGAAAACCCTCTTTGCTGGTAGTGTCCCATGCCAGGAGTAGTGTCCCATGCCAGGAGACAGGAGGGAGAGCCCAGTTTTCTGCTCTGAACTTTCCTGCCTGACCAGACATGCCAGGATGAGCCCTAGTTTCAGTTTCTCCTCTTCAGCTCCACCACTTCTCTGTCAAGCCACCAGGCAGCTCCTGTCCCTGCTGCCCAGTCCTGCTCCCCAGTCCTGCTCCCCTACCATGTCCAAGTGCACCATCTCCCTTTCCTGAGCCTGAGTCATGTCTCCAACCTTGAGAAAATGGAATGGGATGGACCAGGGGGGAAGTTCTACCAGGTGCACTTGGGTAGCACCAAGAATATGAGGGATGGGATCTCTGAGATGCAGTGGGGAACACTGACTAGAGAGGTCCCACTTCTCAGGGTACTGTGGGTCTGGACCAGCCACAGACAGAAGCACTGGGACTACAGCTGGGACCTGGCTGCAGCTGGCACCAGGTACATGGGGAAGGTGTTCAGCAACAGGAAGACTGTATGGATCCTGTGGGTCAGAACAGCAGCCGTGCCTCAAAGATCCACCTGGACAGACCACCTCCAGAATAAGATTTCACAGGTGAAAATGGGGCCAGAGGAACAAGGCCAGGCATTCTCATGGAGAGCCCCAGAAAGAGCCAAGGACAGGTGCCTGAAACTCTGCTGCAGGTGCTAAAAACTGAGGGGCATAGAGACCCTGCTAATCTGTCCCTGTTGTGAAGACTGTCTTTGCCCCAGGGAGATAAAAGGCCTGCCAAAACTGAGATAAATCCATCTGTCCAAGGCACCTTGGAGGCTGGAGATAGAAAGATGAGCCATTACAGTCTAATTTAAGCAACAGTGCAGATTTCAAAGAGAACATGTCAGGAAGGACAAGCAGGGACCTCATTCCTCACTAATGACCCATTGCAGCTCCACTGCCTCAATTCACTGGGACATACAAGAACACACCATTATCTCCCTGGAGTCAGGAGAACACTCCACATTGGCCTTGGCTTACATTAGGCCCTTGGAGAGAGAAGCACGAGTGCACAGCAAGCCAAATGTCATTACTAAGCAAGGAAATCCCAGGGCTGCTTTCGCCCAGCCTGAATCTATGCCAAAAGTAATGAGAACAAAATGCAGAGAGGGATGTGCCTACACCAGAGACCTTAATCTTCTCTGTCCTCCAAGGGACCCTCTTCTTTAAGCCAACATCTAGCTCTGGTGGTGAAAGTAAGGGCAGAAGTAAGGGCTGAGACAGAATCATAAACAGAGTGAGATTTTAAGAGACTTCCTGTTCAAACCACTGTTGTTTGTGGTTTAGCACCCCAGATCCAGGAGGACAAGCTGACTTGAAGGGCAAGAGACACTAGCCAGGATATGCAGGGCATACAGAGCAGAACAGACTGCTCTGGAGGAAATGAAAAGTGGAGCCCTACAATGCCCACATGTGCTGACCGCTCCAGGCTTGCCAGCAGGAGATGACTTTAAAAATAGGACCAGTGTGGTACATGGGTGCATTTGCAGCTTCCTCAAGACCTGGGAGGCAAAGCAGTACAGCGGCACAATGAGAGAGACAGACTCCTCATTAACATCTGGCAGGAGGAAGATGGCGGGACTAAATACAGTGCCTCACTGTTCTGCGACAGATGGGGAGGCAGACACCAAGCACAAATGCCCAGGTGCCACTGGACTTGACCTTGTCACCCCAGATGTGCTGCTCTTAGCTTTTGTTTGCCACAGCTGATGCAGGACGCAGGGTGAAGCTGAGGAGTAGGGCTGTCTGGAGAAATCGCTGGCTGATTTGGCATACACTCCCCAAAGAGCTGACTGAAAAGGAGACAGCTTTTCTGAGAACAAGGACGCAAGAGATCTGGGGATGTGTTGCTGGAGGAGGAAAAGCTGGGTGTGTGCATGCTACAAACACTGTTCCAACTTCAGTGACAAAGGCTCTTTGCCCAGTGTCACTGAGATCCTTTCCAGCAGGGTAGAAGGGGCAGCACAAAGCTCAGATCAACCTGCCCTGACAAGAGCAAGGCAGAAGAACCCAGTAGCTAATGAGCTACACAGAAGAGTCACCTCACTTCTGACAGCCTGACACCTGCCTGCAAAAACCTCTGTTGTGCAAAACGTTTCGTTTCAATCAGGTTTTCCTCTAACATATCCCCAGCCTCTGTTCTGCAGAGCATCCCTCTTGGCAGTGCCTCCTGCACCAATAGTGGGGTCCCACAGAAACAGAATCCTTTTGATCCTCCTTTCCCCAGCCAAAGTTCCCAATGCTCCAGCATACTTTTGCATTTGTTCCTCCTATCCCCTCAGAGCTCTCTGCCAAAATGAGGCTTCCAGGAGCCTGCAGCTCAGAGTCCACAGCCAGAGCCCAGCTGGATCTCATGCAAAATTTACTTGTGCAGACTTGCACCAACCTGCTGCTCCATTATCAATAGGTGAACTGCAGCTGAACCTACCAGAGACTTCCTTGATGCTTGGCTGAACCAATTAGGACTCACTTCAAAGCCAGGAAGGGTCCCCAGCCACTTGATGTGCCACCTGATACCACAATGTCTCTGCCAGTGCCATCCTCTTCCCCATCCCCAGCTCACCAGGGGCCTCCTGTTTTCTCTTTCCAGCTGAGCCCTCCTCCAGCAAACACATCAGTAGTGCTGCAGATCTCTGCTCCATCTGGATTTGCACATTCATCCCTTCCCCGGTGCTGCATGCCCAAACAGAAAACCCTTTATCAAGGGGATGCTGACTCACAGCTGGCACACCGAAACTTCCTAAGGAGCTGAGCATGGGATCCTCTGGAGGCAAAAATGCCATTCCCAGCAGTGAGAAAAAAGTAACAGTCGGAGCATGGTCTAAAAAAAAAAAGTGGGGAGGGTGGGGAATGGTCGGGGGAAGGGGAAGAGGCGGATTCGTGGCTTTGAGCCTTTGCTCTAACCTGCCATTGAGCTCCACGTGCCTGGGCACCCATGACCTTCTGTCACAGGCAGCGACACCCTGCTCCAAGGGGCCTGCTCTCCTCCACCCTGTCAGGGGTCTCGCTCCAGTGTGGGAAGCAGGGTGGGCAGGGGTGCAGCAGGGTGCTTTTTGGTGGCTGCTGGTTCCTTGGAGCACGAGCCAGCCTGGAGCCAGGGCTGGGAGTCAAAGCCACCCCCTCCCTGCATCAGGCCTGTTGTTTTATTCCCCCCTTTGGGTCTTGATACCATGAATTATGGTCTTGCTGTTGGTTTGGTTGTTTTTGTTTTTGTTTTTTTTTGCATGTGGTGATCGGTCGAGAGTTCTGTGCCATGTCAGGGGGAGCATCAGCATCCACCCCTTGGGGAGGAGGTCAGAGCCACAGCGGGGGAAGCTTTCGCTGGCTGCCAGAGCAGGATGCCATGTCCACTCCATCCTGATGTCCTCCTGGGCTATCCCCCTCGTGCTCCTCTCCCCAAATCCTGCGCCGGCTTGGGCTGGGCAATGGACAATGAGATCTCACCGCCTTCTGCTTTCACAGTGAGGTCTCCACGCAGGACCCATTGCGGTGGAGGTGACGGTGGTCGTGGTTCAGGCAGCCTTCATTGCGGTGTACAATGAGGACGGGGAAGTAGAGGGCATCCTGATAAGGAGGGGGGTCTTCCTCCTCCACAGTCACCTGGCTGGAGAGGCGTGTCTGCTCAGTGGGGCAGCTCTGCTCATTCAGGCTGCCACTCCGGCTCTGCCAGAGGCAGCTGCGGCGTGAGCCGTACAGGCGGCCCAGGGAGAAGCGGCTGCTGCTGAAGGGAATCCTGGGGCTGCCGTTGCAGATGCTCAGAGCGCTGCGGGAGAAGATGGAGGAGCTGCTTATAGTCCTGTGGCAGCGCTCGCAGTTCTGCCGGTAGCCCCCGTAGCGGCAGGCAGAGTAGCTGGTGCAGCCGGAGAGCCCCACCAAGTCCATCAGCACCGCTTCCGAGTAGCTGGGCACCAGCTGCTGGTTGGAGCGTATGTGCCACTCCAGCTCTGTGCTGTCCACCGTGTTGACACGGGGCATCCTCCGGCAGAAGGAGCGCTCCTCGGCCGGCGTCACCGCCACGTAATCGAACCCAAAGAGTTTTTCCACGTGGTAATGGACGTAGGAGGTGCGGTACTCATTTAGCACCCGCAGGGGCCAGGATAAGGTCAGCAGAGCTGCCACCCAGAAGACATAGTGAGATACATACCAAGGCAGGTTGTCTGGGTCAGAGAAGGCCACCATGTATTCCTTGAAGTCCACATTTTTGAGGTGCATCCCCTCCCTGGCCTCCATGTAATCGTCTAGGCCCTCGTTCTCCGTGAAGAAGCGGGCCCGCTGGGTCAGATAGGAGTTCTCGGACTCCACGTTGGCAAAGCTGAAACACTTGGTGAAGCGGAGCCGTGTGGCTGGGTAGCTCTCCAGGTCGATGAGATCCTTGGAGATGTCCTTGACCCCGCAGTTGGAGTAATCAAACTCGGCCTCTGCCACGTGGGTGTTGACCCGCTCGTGGTACACCTGGGTGGTGGTGTAGGCGTCCCCGTTGCGGTAGCGGGTGACCTGCCGGGTCCTGCGGACGTAGTGGTAGCTGATGGCCTTCCACCAGATGCAGGGCGTCGCCTGCTGCATCCGCTGCACGCGCTCGTGCACGCTCTCCACGTCCACCTTGTACTGCAGCTCGTTGCGCGTGTAGCAGTGCCAGCACTCCACCAGGTACACCACGTAGAGCATCACCAGGAAAGCCAAGGGGATGTAGACGTAGCCGTTGGAGCAGGGGCTGTCATGGTACATCATGGACTTGCCCTTGTAAGCGCTGTCGAAGGTCAGCCGGGTCACCTTGGTGACGTGGCACCAGGTCATGGCTCCCATGCAGCCATACATGAGGAGGGACAGCAGCAGGCATTTCCAGTGGGACTCTCGGCACAGGGACTTGCTGAGAGACTGCTTCACTGGCCGCTGCTGCTCCAGGGCACCAGGAAGAAGAGAGAGAAAACAAGAGAGGAGTCAGTAGGCTGCAGCGGCAGGGGAAGGGGAGCAGACAGCAGGGTGCTGTGGTAGAACCTATAGCTCTGTGAACAGAGACCAAACAGCAGATGCCATGGGGCTCCTGGCCTCAGCAAGCAGGGCAGAGGCTGGGATCTCTCACAGAATGACAGTCATGCAGTGCAGGCAACTATCACCTCCATTTCTGGTGCTCTGCCCCTCCCTGGGAGACAGACAGAGCCCAGCTGGACATGGGGGGAGAGAGGCAAAGGATAACTCTGTCAGCCACACCCTGAGCATCTCCCTTCTCCAGCAGGGAGTAAACCCTACCATTGCCATTTCCCAAGGAGAGCTATTGGAGCACCAGGTAAGAGTCTGGGTGATCTCCTCCACATTCCTCAGCTCTTGCACCCACCCCACCAGTACAGGCAGCTCTAACTGATGTCATCCCACCTGAGCCCCTCACCACAGCTCATCCCACTGCACAGGAGTCTCTTCCCTGCTTCCCAGTAATGACCAACAGCAACATTGCAATTCCTCCACCAGGGCGGCACAAGCTGCCTGGTGTGCCTGTCAGATGGAGAAACAGACCTTCTGCAGCTGGGAAGGTCTGTGTTTGCTAATGACAATTCCCACTACAACACTTGGCAGCCTAAGGAGCTCTGAAGTGCTTCTCAAGTGCTTTATAAACCATACCAATGAGAAAGTACTTTTCCACTATTGAAATGGAGCCACCTCTGGTAGGAGAGAAAGCAAATATGGAGTAATATCCTAAAAAGTGTTCAGGCTGGAAGGAAGGAGCATCCTACTAATCTGCAGCAGCAAGGAGTGCAAGAGGCCACTCACAGCTGCTGGCAAATGTGCCTGCTTGCACTGGGATTCAGATGTGAGTCCACACTTCTGAAAAAATTGCTCTTAGGTCTTTCATGGTGAGGAAAAGGCAGAACTTCAGCAACATGACTTTTTAAAGAGATTGCACTGGTGCCTTTACCACAGTACAGTGCAGGGTTTCACACAAACCCATGAAAAAAACTTGGTTAAGGAAACCTCTGTCACTCTGCAATACTCTGAAGTCCCAAATATTGATCCATTGTCTGTGAGATCTGACATCATCCTACCCAAAGAAAGAACAGACAAAGTAACTATTTGCTTTCTTATACAGAAGATTTCATCCAGCAATCTCCAAAGGTGCAACCTGAGAGAGGGGGTCAAGAACCCCAGCCTTGTGCAGATGCCACCAAATTCACTCAGAGGCTTCAAGCTTTGCTGTCCCTCTGCACCTGCAGGCAGCAGCAGCTCCTGAGCCCACCTCTGCTGTGGCAGGGGCCAACACCAGCTGTAATGACACTGCTCACAGCACTGCAGTTCAAGCCTGGCTCCATTATTCTCCACTCCTCAGCATGCTGGGCTGGAGAGGTCTCTTGTCCAGGAATCCCAAACAACTGAATGGGCTCACACTGCTATGAAGCAGGAGGGACACTTTCACTCTGGTATGAAAATGAAAATTAAAGCAAGAACCAGAAATCACAAGGGCACTGGCAGGTCTAGGAACAGACCTGGGCCTCTTCTTTCATTTAAGAAATGCATCTTGCTCTTCTGAAGAGCCCCTCATTCCTGGCTTGGTGCTCTAGAGTCCCACAGGCCAATCTTTCCTCCCCACCCTTGTCAAAGCCTGCCATTGGGACGTCTGTCGCTGCACTCATGGATCCTGCCCAAATCTCCAGCAGAGGTTTCCCTCCTAGAAGCACAGAGCTCCCCTGCCTGCCCACCCCAACAGCCAGCCCATGATGAGCAGAGCAGGCAGCACATCCAGAGACACCACTGCTGGCAAGGGGAATGGTGGCATATTCCACTGGCACTCCCAGCCATCAGAAATGCTGAGCTCCTCTCTTTGAAGCCACTAGCTGAGAGCAGGACCTGGGGACAGACAGACAGACAGACAGAGCCCAGGGCTGGCAGGTGGGGTGGTGCTGGCCTGCAGGCAGCTCAGAGAGGTGCAGGGTGGCCCTGCTGGCAGTGCTGGCACAGATACATGTGCAGCCCAGTCTTCCCAGTGCAACTGACCACTGCAGCAGCCTCACAGTCATGGGGCAAGGAGGCAACCCCAGGTAAGAGAAAAGGGAGTGAGGAGAAGAAGTGGGGAGCCTTTCAGGAGGCAGAGCCACCTGAGCTGTGCTCTCCCTCCTGAGGTCAAGGCTGCAGTTAGCAGAGGCTGCTCAGACCCCTCTTTCTTTGCTTGGTTGCAGCACAGCTCTCCCATGCTGGAGTACAGTACCACTGCCCAGGCAGCTAAAGGCTTCCTCTCTCACTGCTGCCTTCTGCGTTGCAGGCTTTCCCTGGCAGCGGCAGCTCTGACTGTGAGGATCTAAAGGAGCAGCTCAGCCAAAGGAGGAGCATGGGGAGGGTCTGAACAGGGCCCTTGGAGTGGTACATGCCAAACCTGGGGTGTCTGTGGGGTGTGAATGCTGAGAAACAGCACCTTGTTTAGGAGGTAGATATGCAAACAGAGCACAAGGAATAAAGCAAAGCATCCAGCTCATTCATTTGCCAGCTGGGGAAGGGGCACCAGAATGACAGATCTTTGGACACGTCTGTCTCAGAAAAGCAAATTCCACCTCACAGTCAGTCCCCAGCCCCTGACATTCTGCACTGCCTGTGTCGCAGGAGAAGGGAGATGCTGGCTGCCACCCTGCAGAGATGTAGGCAAGCCCCACTGCGGTTACCCACCCAGGGCAGGGAGCACGATGCAGCCCAGGCTTGGTTCCAGGAACTGTGTTAGCAGGGCTCTAGTCCATGCATTAGTCTCCTCCTAGGACTACGCAGTATTTAGATACTGCAGCGCTTTTACAGGGTCACACTAACCCCTGCTGTAAACTGTTTACAACCCAGCCTTGTCCTAGGCTTTTGAGGCAAAACACACACACCTCAGCTGCTCTGGTGGGGGCTCCGAAAGCTGAGCAAGTGCCAGTGACGGGATACAGCCACAGCAGAGACAGAGGAGGAGCCAGATGCAGAGTCTAATCCCAGTAGGAACTGCAGCATCCCTGCTCCTCTCCCAGGCTGCAAAGGGCTCACAGGAGCAAACAATCAGCTCCACAGATTCCTCCGCAGAAGCAGCTGAATAAGATTGTCTCCTTGAGCTCTTAACCAGCCTTGGATAAGTCCAGCATAGCAAACAAGCAGATGAAAAAGCTGGGGAAAGAGAAATCTGTCTCAACAGTGTCACTAGGAGGAGAGCAGGCACTGATATAAATGCCATCATCATCTGCCCGCTGCAGTCTGATGGAATGAGGCAAAAGACTTGCCCTACTTCACTGCAAACAGGGTTTCCCTCCATCACCGGGAGCCTCCCTCACTGCTCAGGCTCCAGCACTGGAGAGTGGTGAGCAAATCTGCTATTGCAGGTGCACTGGAACATCCCTGCAGTGCTAGGGGGCAAGGCTGGCCATAGCTTAGCCAGACCTCTTGTGGGATCCCAACCGGCTCCCTTCCCTGTGCTTCAGTTCACCTCAAGGAACGCATGGGGCAACCCACAGCGGGCACTACCTGAGACACAGCTCGGGAAAGGCAAGGGGGGGCTGCTCCTTGGGCCTCCCCTCCCTCCTGCCTGGCACTGGCCTCTGACACTGCCCCTGAAGTGGACAGAGATGGAGGCCCACACCTGCAGCTGCTGCTCAGGATGCGTGGGGAGGGATGGAGGGGATGACTCACAACCAGCCATGAAGCAAAAGGAGACACCCACAATGCACAGGGCAGAGGCAGTAGAAGAGGGGACCCCCAACACTGCTTGCACTAAAGTTCTTTGAGGTCTGGGGGATCCTCTTTTGAAAAAACAGCCTCAAGGGGACAAACCTGCCCAGCACATGGGTCAAAATCCCTTAATCACCCCTGCAACCTTGACCCTGCAACTTTGAATACTAAAACCCATCAAGTCCTTCAAGCTACTCCCAGTAACAGCCTGGCCCTGGCCCCATCCACTGTCCCCTTTTTTAACAAGCATTTCCATGTCATTACCTCCCATGCCCCTCACCTGCCTCTCCCTGCAGAAACCTCTGTGAAATCTCTGATTCACCTCCAGAATGCTAAACCTTCATATTTAGAGACAGCCTGGGATTCAGAGGGTTAGGAATCCTAGAGACAGCCCTCTAGAGGGCTGAAAAAACAACCCAAAAAAAGCCCCAGAGCAGCAGCCTGAAGGCCCAGGTAGCTCCCGAGTGCCAGGTGGTGGCAGCAGCCTGCAGGGGACTCCAGAGGGACTCCTGAGCATCAGTTTCCATGGCTCTTCCCCAGGATTCACTTACATCATGCAAGAAATGAATAAGCCCTGACTCCTTTGACCTCAAATCCCCAGAAAAAGAGAGGTAGGGAGGATCCAGTCATTTCTAGGAATTACCACTGTCTTCGAAGGCTCTGGACAAACATTGGCAACTCCTGGCCAGGATGGTCCCAGCAAATACCCACATCACACACCCCAAGCCTACAGCCCAGGTTCAGGAACTACCTGCCTACAAGCAAGAGGTGGCTCAGTCCCAGGCTGGCAGGGTTGCCAACTGCAGAGGACAGAGGAAGGCTGAGCATCGACAAGCCAGGGAATCCTGCCAGCAGTCAGCTCCTGCAGTGGTACCAAGGTCTCCATTTCACACAGGAGCTTGGAGGAGGAGTGCTTCCTTCCATCAGATCCCTCCTGAGCAGCAGGACGAGGACATGTTTTTGCTTGTTCCCAGGCTGAAGAGCTTGTCTCTTGGCATCTCCTACCCTCCAAGTATGAACTGAGGAGTGAAATTCAGTTCACCACCACCAAGTGTGGGTGTAGGCATGTGATGCCAAGATGGAACAAGGGCTCAGTCAGCTCTGGTTAGTAGCTCTTGCTACTTGCCTTGCTGGGACAAGATGAGAAGCGCCCGAAGCCCTGCCTGGCTCCTAGACACAGCAAACTGAGATATCAAGACGAGACACCTTCAAACAGGACAGGGTAAGTTTCCCATTTTCCAGACATCTCCCCTGGCTTCCCACTTGCCCTGGCCGATGGACCCTGACATGGGATTGAGCCACACTGCAGGGACACTCGGCAACGCTGGCACCAGCAGCTGGCTCTGATGGAAACGAGGACATTGCACAGCCCGTATGGCACTGCATAGGCACTAGAGGGGAGGAGGAACATTCTCCCCTCCTGATAGTTCTGAAGACAAGAGGATTGCACTAGGTCAGCCCATGAATCCAAGATTGCCACTAAAGTCTCTCCTCATTGCATCAGATGAGACACCAGCAAGCATGGCACCATCACGAGAGGCTGCAGCTTCCCTCTCCTCCATCAGCTGCTTCATGCAAGTCTGTGATAGCTTCTGGCCACAAGAAGGATGCCCTTAGCCTAAAAAGGGCAGGTCATGGACTACAGCCCTTCTGCCTGCTCCCATGAAGTGTTATACTGACACCCTCGCTGGCAGCCACCACAGAGTAACTGTGGTGCCCAGACCATATAATGGTCTTATAATCCCTGCGAGCCAGGGGGCACTGTAGGTGAGGGAAACTTGTCTGGGCACTGCCCCTGCTACACTTCTTTCACCCAAACTGGCTCTTGCTCTGGCACCTCTGAAAAGTCTGTGCCATCTAGAAAGTAGAATCAGCACTGCCAGAGCACTGGCAGTAAGAGACCACATCACAGTAGGGCACAAGCACATCCTCACGAGAAAAAAGCACCTCACAGTTTGGCTACCCTCATCAGGATCTGTTTGAAGAGCTGGGCTCAGATCATCAGGAGTTGTTGAATGCAGGCAGGAAGAGAGGAACAGACACAGAGTATACAGTATTTGTACAGCTTCCCAGTCCTTGAACTTCAGCATTCCTCTCCTGCAATTATTTCTATCTAAATATAAATCTGTATATATAGAATAACTGTGCATGGGCACACATGTTCTGCCCAAGCCAAGGAGAATACCAGGATTATGCAGCACTCACAAACTGCAGCTCCTCATCAGCAGAAGGGGAAGTGATGCACCAGCTTCTGAGTACCCCCCAAGCTGCCCTTTGAGCTGTGGTCTCACCAGACGGGGCAGCCCACCACCTGCAGGAGAACACTGCCCTTCCTACACTGCCTAGTTGCCCTCCATGGGTCAGCACCCCCATGGCATAAAGTGAGTCCCACCAGTCAGAGCAGTTGCCTTCTCTCTTCTTGGGAAGCCCAAGCTGCAAGCAGGATCTGAGGAGGCAGACAAAAGGGCTGGCACTCCTGCCTCCCGGCGGTGCTCCCAAGGCACAGGGCACCCTGCTCTTGACCCTTTCTGGCGTCTGCTGCCTGGACTCCAGAAAAGTCATCTGCTGAGGGAGACTGCAGCACACCTGGAGGCAAGGCTGTGCTGGTACCTGGCCTGCCCCAGTCTGCACCTTCCACTTCTCTAGCTGGGAGCAGCCGCCAGCCAGCAACAGCCCCTGGCTTTGCCATGTCCCCAAGCCCTCTATCCTGCTGCCCACCGCGTCCTGCCTCACAGCGACCCAGGCAGCTGTGCCACATCCTGGGTGCCCCCAGAAGCCAGCGCACAGCAAGGAGGGGGTCTCCACGTCCACTCCTCCCAAGCATAACAAGCTCTGCCCGCGGCTCTAAGCCCAAACGGTGCCCCGCGCTTCTCGTTTCTGATTTTTTTCCTTGCTCCTCCATCCCGGCCACTCCAGCTCCGGCCCCCGCTCCGGACGGCGCTGGCTGCTGCCTCCCTTCCAGCCCCGGAGGCTCCGCAGCGATCCCCAGGTGACTGGCAGCGATGGAGAAGCGCCCCGGGGCAGCCCTTTGGCGGCGCGGACCGACGGCTGGGTATGCTCGCCCCCGAACCCCACTGCCCCCCGGCCCGCATCGCATCCCCGGGGCCGGAGCGGGGCGAGAGGGGCTCCCAGCGAGCGGCTCCGTACCTGTGCGGGCAAAGCCCGGCCCGGCCCGCGGCGGGGCGGTCAATGACCGCGCCATGCAAAGCGCCCGGGGAGGGAAGGGTGGTCGGGGGCAGCCCCGGGCCGGGGGCGGCCGCTCTGCTCACCTCCTCTCTGGCCCCCTCCGCCTCCTCCTCCGGAGGCACCGGCGTGCTGCTGCCTCCCTCGCTGGCGGCGGCCGCCGAGGCCGGGGGGGACATGGCGGCGGGGGCGCCCCGCTGGCGGTGCCTGCGGGCTGGGCAGCCGCATTATCCCGCCCGCCGCCGGGCGCTGCCTCGCCGGTGGCCGGGCGGGCGGCGGGGCGGCGCGGCGGGCGGGCGGCGCGGCGGCATCGCCCCCAGCCGCGGCTCGGCGGCAGCGCTGGCCGCCCGCCGGCCCCGGCCCCGGCCCCGCCGCAGCGCAGCGCCGCTACACGCGGCGGAGGGCGGGCAGAGCCGCGGTGGGAGGGCCGCGGCGGAGGCGGGGGGAACGGCACGGGGATGGGATGGGATGGGATGGGATGGGATGGGATGGGATGGGATGGGACGGGACGGGACGGGACGGGATGGGATGGGACGGGACGGGATGGGGATGGGGATGGGGATGGGGGCACGGCGGGATCCGCGCCCGCCCGAGAGGAGCGGCGGGTGACCTTGAGGCGCCGGCCGGCAGCGGAGAGGGAGAGAGCCCGGTGCAAAAGCCCCTCCCGAGCCCCACCGGGAGCGGAGCTGCCGCCCGACGCTGTCGGGGAAAGCTCCTGCTCTCAGCCGCGCCGAGGGGTCGTCAGGCTGTCTTCGGTCCCAGCTGGCCAGCTGATGGAGAGGTGAGGGGTCCCGTGAGTTTTCTTTCCCTCGGGATGAAGCGGGAGAACCGGGAGCACTTTACATGTGCCCCGCCTGCTTTTCTAATCTGTGGGCACCCCAGCGGGTCGGGGGAAGTGGGGTAGTGCCGACCGTCAGTGCTGATGCTGGCACTCACGGAAAAACCTTAGGTTGGGCAGGATCTTCCCTGCTGTGATCTGCACCGGGCCCAAAGGTTCTCAGCTAGCTATTGCAGAGCCAACTGCAGTTTATATCTCCACAGAGCTAACATTCTTGGTTACAGAGATGAGTGGAAAAGTCTCCTCAGACCCTCAACCTAAACTCACACGGGGGACACACGCAGAGTTTGGGAAGGGTCCGTACTTGTCAAGATCTGGATACTGTAGGTACAGCCCAGCTTCCTTCATAGTCAGGAAATCAGGTGTCTCTGTAGATGCTTCCCCAGATCCAAACTGGGGAGAAGCATAAGCTGCAGAATTTGCTGGAAACTTCTTCTCTTTTTCTGAGCTCTGAGGCTCAGCCTTGGCAATGGGATGATTGGCATGCCCTTGTCTGCTGTTGCCTGGGATGAGGAAGGAACAGTGTGTAGGCCTGATGGTCTCACTCAAGGAGATGCATCCGAGGGGAGTTGCCAACCCCTGCTTCTTATGGGAATAGATGTGATGGCCGGGGGTGCTGCTGAAGGAGCTCATCTTCAAAAGAGGCTGGGGATGTGTTTCCTCTCGCCTTTCCCCTGTTTCCATGGGAACAGCAGCAAGCAGGAGCAGCCTGCTTGGAATTTCACTGCTTACCGCTCAGACACCCCCTGCCCGATCATCCCGGCAGACTTTGGCTCTTGAGGGTTTCAGCCCCACCCTCACGTGATGGATCCCATGCTCCAAGGAGAGCTCACCCATGGATGTGTGTCATGGCAGAGCAAGGCAAAGAGGCACAAGGCCAGAGCTGCCACAGTTCCTGTAGCAGCATGTTATTCCATGCACACTAACAGACAGTTGAAAATAATTTGCATTCCTATATGCATTTCTGCTTTTTATAGGATGTGACCTCAGCTAGACCAAAAAGTGCCTGAGGGATGATCGCCCTCCAGGAACAGTACTGGCTTTATCTCAAATATGTGAATATCACACAAAAAGAGCAAAGCAGAAGGGTGAAGAGGGGGGAGAGGTGATACAAGTTTATGCCTTTGCATTTAATAGCCCATGGTGTCTTTTTCTCCAAGGAATTTGTCCATTTACTTTTGAATTTGTTTTGATTTCGGACTTGTAGATGCTTCGTGGATTCTGTGGCAAGGAGTTTCACAGACTCAAGGAGCTTCCTTTGATGTGCCCATCCTGGGCTTTTTATCCACTAGGACTAACCCTTGGGAAGCAGGCTGCTGCCACCCTTATGGAGCTACCCACAGTGCGATTTATCCTACACTGGTGGAATCGGAGGCTACTGGTGAGCCAGAGGTAGAGTTTTTTGTGTCAGGCATCTTTGATACTGGTCCTGGCAGCATATCTTGGAGACAACGCTGTCAAGCACATCACCAGCTGTGCTATTTTTGAGATGAGGTGGCACAAAAGAGGTTGTGTGCCCTGCTTTGTCTGAACTGGAGTTGTATAAGTTCTCAGCCACTTTCTGAGGAAAACAGAGGCACGTGGCAGATTTAGACCCTCGGGCAGGTACCCAAAGGCATGGCTGAAAATGTGCAACAAAGGGCGCAGGACTCCCAGGAATGGGAGAAATAAGACTATATATGATGCTTAGGCCTTTCAGAAACTAAAGCAGGATGGACAGCATCCAAGACTGTGTTCTGTGTCATGATCACAAGGAGGACCCAGAAGCTGTAATTACAACACACTGCCTGATCCACTCAACCCTTCTGTTCTTGGGGGCAAGAGACAAAAACCTACAGTTATTCCTGTAGGTTTCAGGATGCTCTAGTGGAAAATCATATTGGAGAGTGGGATATTTCTGGGATGGAGGCATTTCTGATGTGACAAAATGGTTGAAAGAAGCAGGGAGGCTTTTAAGAAGACACAGCAACTGAAGTAGAGGTGGTGCCCTTACCAATAGGTTTGTTCTCCAGAAACCCTGTATCTGCCACCCTGCAGAGACATTCATATCTGTTCCAAGCAAGCATAAAGCATGACATCATATTAGCAGGATTCGTTCACTTTCCATAATGCATCAAACCGCAAAAGGTCTCACTCTTCTGTCTCTGGTAGTTACAGAAAATAGCCTTTAGTTCCTGCTTAAATATGTTATTAGTTCTTACCCATGCAGCAAATTTGCATTCAATTTCTAGAAAAAATTTTGATGGAGGCTGCATTTTAAAACAGATGGTCATAGATAACCTATCCTTGTGCTGGTATTTGTAGCGTGAATATAAAAATGGATTTCACAGCACCATATAGATATATATATCACTGTGTTTAGCTTTATTTTTTTCCAATAGACCAAGTGTGATCAAGATCCAGTCTTTTGTTCCAAAGCAATCAGTGATTCCTAGCGGTGTGCTGCTTTTTGTCTCTTAAGAAGATGCGTGGTAGAGAATCCCCTCGTGTTAGGATGCAGGATTTTCTATGCTCAGAAATTAATGCCTATTCAATTTAGAAATTTCAAGGATACTTTGTGCTGGCTGCCTGAGCCTTCCAGAATGTGTCACTCCAATTAAATTACTCCTTATTAATGCAACAAGGGGAGTGTGGGTAAAGGAATGTGCCTCTTGCTCCAGTTAACAACATCCCTTTGCCACTGCTGGTCAGTGGTGTTGACTGTCTGAGTGCCATATACCTCTGCAAGATTTTTCCTCAAGGAAATGTGTGCCATTAGTTGTGTTTTCATCTGCTGCACTCAGAATTCATGTCTGCTGGGAGGAGATTCAGGTGTGCTTTTTTATTGTGGGAAGGAAACCCCAGGGGTCATTAATTGGTGACTGGAGAGCTCATTTCTGTTTAGCATCACTAGCAGGGGTACACATCATGACTGCAGTCTCCAAATACTCAAAATCTCAAACCTCACAAAGTAGGTGGGTTTGTAGCTGCTGCACTGGGGCACATTTCACTGAATAGAATTGCTGTCATTGAAAAGTCTTTGATCCCCGCTCTGATCCTTTCTTTTCCAACAGGCTGCCTGTATCCAGTTTGTTTGTTTTCCATCCAGCCTCATGAGAGTCTATTTTGTCATCATCACAGCTTTTGTGAGGCTCCACAGAGGTTTCTGGGTCAGGTTAAATCACTTTCCTCTCTGCAGTAGCCCAGCAGGATACCCAGGGCCCTCCCTCACATCCCCCCTAGAAATGAAAAGCGGATTCAGCACTGCCCAGATGCTGTTTGACAGTCCTCAGGACATTTTGTCCGATATAACTCCAGAGCAGCGGCAACCGCCCCGAGTGCCTGGAAACTGAGCCAAATCCTCCCTTGCCAAATGCTTTGTTCTCACTTAAATTTTTGGCCCATCACCCCTAGAAAGGAATAAACCACGGAAACTAATGGCTCAGGGAATTCAGTCTATCTCTAGTCCCAGGAGTCACCTCCCTAAAAGCAGAAAATAGGTTTCTGTTGCAGTTTGCCTTCCCCACACTGAAGGGTTGGAGTTGACGTACCCTGACCTGGAGAAGCATCCCTGTCCCACCAAGCTCTCCCCATGGACCTGGCCGGCAGGGAAGTTGCTGTTCTAGGGAAGGGGCTAAAATCCACTACATGCTTAGGGGTCACTGTCTGGCCAGGTCTGTCAGTCTGGCCAAGATCCTGGGGAATGGCTGCAATCCTACTTTCTGTGTGCCCCATCACCTGGGCAACACAGACTCGGTCATCACTTTTTCATGGTGTCAGAACTGCTCTGTCCAATGGGATGGCCACCTGCTCCTGCTCAGCATCTGAATATTTCAAACAGCTCACTCACCCCCACGTCCCCTCCCTGCCACCCTGCTCACCCCTCTCTCCCTGCCCCTGCTTGGGGTTCTCACTTGTTTTCAGTAGTGTGGCTCCACCAGGCCTGTTCCCAACTCACTCTGATGCAAGTGTGGAGAGACACAAGCCCTAATTGAGTCTGGCAGCTGGGAGGTTTAACTCTCCTGAGAGCAGAGCTGAGCTTGCCTGAGTAATACCTAGCCACTTGCAGCACTGCTAGGAGACAAGGACTAGGCTAGTGGGGATGCAAGGCTGCAGTGAGGGGCTGAGGTGATGCAGAAAGCAGCTCAAGCAGAATGAACTCAAAAATGAAAGTTAACCCATCCTCCCTTCTACCAGCCATCAGGTCCAGTGCAGCAATGCTGAAGCCCAGGAGCAGCACTGGCAGCATCTGTCCTGTGCTCTCTGGCAAGGTGAGCTGAGGGACGCTTGGGTGGGTTGAGGTTTTTGTTTTGTCTTGGGTAGTCTCTGCCAGATGAACTGTACTTAGAGAGTCATGAATAA